ATTTAAAAAAAAAAAAAAGCTGGAAGTATCTATATAAGCTGAGGAGTATCTATATAAAATCTTCCAATTTTTCAATTATTTTAAACTAATTTAAATATTCTGAAATATTACATTCCAAGCAAAATACATATAAACCAAACCTGTACCAGATTACCCCTGGTGCATAGCATTGTTTTACACCTGTTATTTTGGTTTCACTTACAATCAGCTTGGCGCCAGCTGAGGTAGTCTTTTAAGGTCTGGTTGTTAGGATACACAATGACTCTTCCATCAAAGCCTGGAGGATACAGAAGAGGCTGATCCTCAAAGTAATCCCGCCAATAAAACACATAGCTGGAGGCGAACTGGGAGGCCACGTGAGTCATGAACTTACTTGCAAATACAAGGCACATTGGATGGAGCAAGAAAAAAGAAAACACGTATTAATTCAACACCATGACCGGGCCTCTGGGTGCAACAGAGATTATTCTAACTGCCCAGGCGGCCAAGAGATAAGACACCTTTCACCAAGAAAAATAACGTAGCTCGCCTTGCCTTTAGTCCTGTAAGTAATTTACTAATATCTCACTTTTCTCTGTAAATTAATCTGATATGAATTTTCTATTTTTTTAATCTTCAAAGAACTGTACCAGTCATTATCACTTGCTTCCTTGAGTTTCAAAATACTGCCAAATCAAATATATATATGTTATTTTTTGTACTGAGATGCCCCTTAATTAAAAGTTTAAAAACAATACTGCAATGCATGTATAAGCTATCACTGGCTAGAGCCAACCTATGAATCATTGATATTATATTCTATTGTCTCTGTTTCTAGTCTTTATGCTCCATACTAGATTAGTTTAGAATAGGTAGGAGGTGGGGGGTCCGAGGGGCACTGGAGGGGAAAGAATGGGTTAAAGAGGTACATAAAATACCTAGGTATCAGGTGGAAGGAGGCATACTCTCACCCCGGAATTTACATACATCCTGCAATTGCAAGTACCACAAACATTACTGTTAAAAGTTTGCAATTAAGAAAAAGCTAGATGCTGGTAGGAAATATTCTGAAAGAGTTAGGTCATGATTTACCTGGCTCTTCTTTTAAACCAATTGCTTTTCCGCTTGAACACAAAGCTGTACTCATCACTCTGTCCATAGGCAATGACAATGTCCTCCAGTTCTTCCATTACAGTTTGGGCACATCTGGTCATCAGGTGGAGAGCACGGCTGTCATTCGGTTTGGAAAAGTTGTGTTTCTCAGCAAACCTTCATAGGGGAAAGAGAGGACAGAAAAGGCATGGATGAAAAAAGAAAAACTGCTGTTAACACCACAGATCAAAGAGTTAGAGGCCATTCACAAAAGAAAACACCGCAATAGAACAAGTTCAGGGCCTCCCTGGTAGTACAAGGGGTTGAGTCTCAGCACTATGAAGCAATCCTCAGCCACTGCAGTGCCAGTTCGATTCCTGACCAAGAAGCTAACCCACAGGGCACAGCACTCTCCTGTTTCACCCATTACTTGCTCCCCTCAGCAGTGTATTTCAGTGACTCTACCTGTTCTGCTCCCCACTCTGTCTTTGTTGAATCCTCTCATACTTCTGCACCTCTGGCTGTACCCCAGCTCTTGTATGCATAAATAAATCTTAAAAAAAAAAAAAAAAAGAGTTCAGATCCTCCACCAGCCTCACCTCATCCATTTCCTTGACAAGTCTATTTTATGCCCTGCCCAAATGAGAAAAAGGGTTGTATATGCTAAGCCTTGACTTCCTTTTCTGTGAAATGAGGAATGACATTTTACTTTGGAGAACTGTCCTGAAGATTCGGGAAATGACAATTATAATAAACCTGGACTCTCCCCATGTTTTCTTTTTCCTCCGCAATGCTGTGCATGTGGACAGTTACTGATCATAAAACAAAGTATACAGGCAAGCGCAGCGAGGCCTGTGAAGGGACGTGCTGGTAGGTGTCCGGTATTTGTCTCATCAGAAGAGCCCCTGCTCCAAGGAACTACCCTAACCAGCCCCCTTACAAGCACGTGAGAAGCAGTGCGCAGAACGATGCCCAATGTCGCGCGCTTACTGGCTGCCGCGTTACCTAGGTAACCCGGAAGCGGCGCCGGCGCTAACGTGGGTCCGCCTTCCCGGAAGCGTTCGCCCACCTCCGCCACGAGCTCCCCTGCTCACCGATGGAAGTTTCTGCCGTCCAGCCGCACCACCACCCAACAGTGGGCCAAACAGGTGTCATCGGCCTCAAAGTCTCGTACGTACTCAAATTTGCTCTTTGCCATGGCCGCTCCCGACTTCAGACACCGGCTCAAAGTGGCAGAAGCGGCAGCCACACAATCACGAACTCTCCTGTTGCAAATTGCCCACATGCCCCGGCGAGCCCCGCCCCGGAAGTTCCTCTTTAGCTGCCCTGGCCTCTCTAGCCGCAGTGGAGGTCAGCATCTCTCTCTGTCCTCTCCTAGTGTTCCGAGTACACTTCTGGTCCCGGAGGGAGTGCTGGTTCCTCCCGGCTTGCCTAGTCCTTTATCCTGCTGCTTGTTAGTCTTATATTTTCAAAAAAATTCCCTGCCTTACCCAAACTGTAGGTTTAGTTATGGATTTATTATTCTTCTGTAGACAACGTGAATATGCCATAAAAAAATTTACATTAGATCTCCCCCTTCACGGTCAAACATCGTGGATGATCTCTTTCAATCCCTTTCCTCTGTGTATCTGTTCCTATGGGGAACAGTTTATATATTTTTTCCATTCTTAAGTATTTTGCAGTGTCAAATATTCCAAAGCATAATTTTTTT